CTCAATAATCACCCAACATCGTCGGAAGGCATATACTTAATAATATTTAGCCTAGTCCAACTCTAAAAGGTATTAATGGTGTTTTACAGTCAATGTTCTATAGCAGAGTCGTAGATTTCACGAAAAAAGAGACTCCAGCCGTGACGCAAAGTGCGAATCGTATTAATAGCAGTTATATGGTGAAATTGTTGACGCGACTCAGACAGGAAATCAATAACATTAACTCCTTTATAATGACTTATTACTTTTTTTAATCGGTAAGTATGTTGATAGGTATTTGTCTGTCTGGGTGTTTGTCTGTCTGTCTGTTAGATGCACGCGATATCTCACGAAAGCGAGATTGGATCGGCAGCAGATTTTGCATGTGCATTCATCATATCTCGTACCAGAAGCCTATTGATTTTGGGCGAATTATGTCGTATATTTAGCGAGTTTTCAATTGATCAGTGATAGGACACAAGGTGTCACTATGGAGTAAGAGCGCTGTTTTGGGGGATCCCCTAACTTTCAATCGACAAGTCTTCGGTCTCTGACCGATATTCTCGTTATTGGTTCAGCATGTATTTTCAGTCATACATACCATCCCTGGCGCTGTGATGCTTTGATAAATATAATTTCGACTGCTCGTACTTGGCAGAGGTATCGAGATTTTTTAAACGTTTAAAAAACGTAAAATTAAAGGTAACTTTCACGCGTAGTCTAGCATTAGAATGTTTACGTCTTTCTACGCGCATTTCCGTCGAAAAAAGTAACATTTTTTTGCATTGAGGGAGGCGTATGCACTAATATATAGAGGTGTGACGTCATCAAAATTGTCAATTGAAGCCTTGAACTTGAAAATTCTGTAAATACAATCGTGAATTTTAGAGTAACCATTCTTGCTATAATAGTGATTTTGGTGTTAATTTGTTGGAAAATAACACAAGAAAACGTTGAAATAAAAAATAATTTATTAGGAATAATTATTAACCCTCTACTAGACACAAAATCTCGCAAGTTCAATATAAATTTTGGAATTTTGGCGTAAAAATTTTTTTTTAGAGGAGTGCGTTTTACATATATTGCTGAATAGAGCTCTATCACACGCTATTAAAAAGCCATGAGTGAAGCCTTAGGGCCTGATGGTTGACAAAAAAAAAATCCCATGTAAAATAGCACTAGACCGACCGGCTGGGCAGGGTGAATGTACTATATTATAGCTTCCTTACACATTAATGTGTACCATCCTGATCATCTCCACCTCCCCCTATTTAAATTTTATTAGATCGGAAAAGTCGTTAACAAATGCCTGCGATTTTACAAGCTAATTTATTTAGCATCGACGATTGTTTCCTTCTTCGTGAGATGACGATTCAGGAAACGAATATTGATATTTTGCCGTTTAAGAATGGACCATGATATAGCTTTCAATTTATCAATCAAATTATAGTGATTTAAAGCGTTTCAACTAGAGTTTTGTTTTACATACCGAAGGCTCATCAAAGTTTATGATGTTCTTCGTTTATTTTTGGTATTTTATAACACCGTATTTAAGTCGTAATATTTTTTCCATCATTTTCAGTCGGAAATGTGAGTTTCAGATTCACTCCTTTAATTACCGTTACGTCGCCAATGATCGCATAATAGTGCATTTTCACGCACAGTTCCGAGCGATAAAAATTAATTATCGACGTTTCCGTGGGACAATAAGTTTTTTCGTATGCAGGGGACCGCATCACAAGACCTGGAATATGATGATATATGAGTTGAATAATTAAAGTATAATTGAGTAATTAAAGTAATGTGCCCTTATTGTATAAGTGGCCGCAACCACGATTTAAGTTAAACACAATTATAGAAATACCTTTTGAATGTTGGCATTGCTCATGAGTTGAATACTTGACGCAACAAAAAAATCATTGTCCGCTGAAAATGTCAGCAATGGCGTGATCGTGACGCCTGTTTCAGAAGCTGTTGCATGTGAAATACCGATTTCGAACTACGCGGGGGAACAGAAATATTGGCGTTTTTGCATGTTATGCGCACTTCAAAAATTACGATTAACCAAAATTGAGGAATACTAATCGAATACAATGCTATACGAAAACGATAAGAACATCCCTGGTTACTAAGTTTTAAATATATATTCATGAGATAAAAAAAATACCGTAATTTATTTGCAAAAGTGACTTTAAAAAATAACAACGCAGAATACTAGAGCGCGCGGCAATATCACGATCATCGCAAATTTTGAAATGTAACCTCATTTAAATAATTGTCATGCCTTTATACTTTTTCGGCAGTAGCATGATAACCACTGGCATATTTATATCACCCTGGCTACGGTAAAATATTTTAAAGTGCCTCAGTTGTTTTTTATGTGACGCATACTCGTGTCTTTCGCTTATAACAAGGCTCTGTAAAAGCGGCCACTGACATCCAACAATAGGTAAGAAGATACTATTTTTAGAAAAACAAGAATCCACCCAATTCGTTACACCCTCGGTGAGATGGTGGGCATAGGATTTTGAACTCGATTTGTGAAACTTGTGATGGTTAAAACCCTGTCTAGCCTAATATCCTGGAGTCATTTTGTATGGTCTCTTTTTCAATATCGTCAACCATTTAAGCCCCAAATCGACCCTCATGCCTTTTAAAAGCGTTTGCTGGAGTTCTATTCCGCGAGGTGACACTAAAGGACGCGCATATAATATTTTTCTAAATATGCGACCGTATGTTCAAAAACTTGTAGAAATCAACCTTGAATGTTATTGCGTCTGATATTTCATTTCAATTTGATTGTTTTCTTGTGTTCTTTTCCAGCAAAATAATAACACAACCATTATCATAGCTAAAATATTTATCGAGATATTCACAATTGTATTTGCGGAATTTGCAAATTCAACACTTCACTCGACGATTTGATGACGTCACTCGCTAATTATTACTGCATAAAAGCTTCCTTTTCTTCGAACAGCAGCTACTGTAATAATTGTCGACTGCAATTAGCGCATTAAATTGTAAACAACCCCATGTGTGTCGTCACAGCGACATTCACGAATGGTTTTACGTTCTATTCTTATTTACAATTTTATCACCCAACCACAATGCGTGGTGAAAGAAAAATTTTTCTGAAAACATAAATGAAATGAATCACTAAAATTACCTGCTAAGCAAATACAGGGTCATTATAACAGTGTTATCTGCCGCCATTCCTATCTGGGTTACAAGATATTCATACCAGCTTTTCAGAGGTCTGAATCAACATTTTCAAATCGATGCTATTTATACTTCGGACAGTTTCTGGCGATGCTATAGCGTTTCATTGCTTGTGTTTACTACAGACCCTTGAGAGTTGCAATTTTTGGCAGGCCGAACATATTTTTCCAAGAAAATTCAAAAATCGAAAGGGTGTCTGATAAATCACATTTTTTACTAAGATCATAATCCGAAACTTCATACTTTGAATAGCGAGCAAACAGTACAATTCTCAGGTCGTCTTACTAGGACAAAAATGAAATTTAGTGTGACACTTCTTGTTGCATTACGCTCTATAAAATTTTGGACATCAGTTGACACATTTGATGAAGCCTAGATAAGAACATTTTTTAAATTGGCATCACTAAATAGTTCTGTGCTTGTTCTTTGTAATGTTCATTTTTAAAATAATTGTTTCCACGCGTATGTATTTTAGAACATCGATGGGGATGTTTTTGCATGGTTCGTCAAATTTGGATAGAGATTTCCTTCAGGAAGACAATTTTTATACAAATCAAACATTCCAACATCTCTCGATTAAAAAGTGGATTTTAATTCCTCATTGCATTGGATCCTAAGAAGCTCTATTTAAATATTTTCTGTAACCGTTTCCACGTTAGGTTAAAACGGAGTACTAACAGACTGAACTCGTTTTCAAGAGAACGAAAGTCAGCGAAGCAGGAGGAAAAATCGTTTTGGAACTCCCGTATTACAGAAAAAAAACATTATAACAAAACCATTTATAAGTCCACACCGTGTCCAATAATCTGATCCTCGAACGTAGAAAAAAATAAAACTAGAATCAACGCAGGCCGGAATATTTTACTCCGCGGGCCGGATTATTTTACTCCGCGGGCCGGATTATTTTACTCCGCGGGCCGTGGGTTGCCGACCCCTAAGTTAGAGAGTTGGACTCAACTGAGTTGCCATTACACATCTCTTTTTTAAATCTTCTATCATCTCACCCAGGGTGAAAAAATGCGCAGACAAAGCCGAATTGGAAAGATTCCGTTGCATCCTAGAGTATTGAAATTCACACATCGTTAGATATCAGTGGCTGCTTGTCACACAACGTTCGGAGCGAAAGGTTTAAATAAGCATCGTATAAAAGCATTATTTGTACAAGTGTGCCGCATCACTCGCGTGATTTTTTAAAGCTGGGTTGCTTTGCTTGTGAGAGTTTAAATCATCAGCAATATGATTAAACAAATAATCCATTTTTTTTTCGACCATAATTTTTCTAGTCGTATCATGATCAAGCAGAACCACAGCACTTCTGACTTCAAGAAATTATCAACATTTTCACATCAAACGTTCACTTACGACTTTTTACGTCATGAAAAATTTCCAAACCAAGACTTTTATCCAGCAACAATTGCATTTGACTTCTTATTTCTCAGAAGATGACATATTTTTCGATTACAGATTGAAGATGTCAAAGCAACATACAAAAGACCGAGATAATGTCATGAATATCGCAAATAGAAAACTTCATTTTGACAATTGTCTTATTTTGGAATGATTTTTATTAAATTGTTTCCCACTCAACATAAGAGCGGTTTATTTAACACCGTGACCATTTGGTTTTACGGATGCGCTCACTTAATTAAAACAAAAATGATTGCCATTTGAATTGTTTATTTAAAACAATTTATAAAATAAAAAAAATCGAGATATTATCTTTTTCCGAAACATATATTCTATCAACTACCCTATAATCGCTGCAAAACTATTTATGATTTTCCAAACTTATTTATATTCAGTTGAAGAAACTTGACGTCGAGGGAAACAGTACTTTAGGAGTGCAAGGTGTTTCTCAGCTCGCATCTGTCGTTTTACAATGTGAAGTGGAAGATGTTAACATGGGATATTGCGGACTAACAGCTGAAGCAATGGAAGTATTTAAAAACAATACTCGTGGTGCCAAGGTGAAATTAAGATTTATCTCGATTATTTATTTTCGTCTTATACTGATGAGCCTTTTTTATTCACCAATTGTAGGCAGAGGCGGACACTTCCCATAATTTGGGGGCCGAACTTGCATTGTCAATCAAGAATCATACCACTGTCACGCCAGCCAAATATCTAATTTATATACCCGAATTTCATATTATAGTGTTTCCGCGTCAAATGAAATGTACCTACTACGTAAACTAATAGTTTGGGGATCACGCTATGGGTGGATTTATATTTAGATGCTGATTTGGAAATAATACTGCAACTTATTATAATATAAAAGAGGAAAGATAGAATATTTGAAGTCTTACATTCAAACTTTATGAGGTTCGAATATTGGCAATTTTCTAAACATATGTCATTAAGATAATCGAATTATTCAGAGTTTTATGGAATCGGGGGCAAGAATTAAAAAATATACCATTGGGTGAAGAACTAATATAAGTCCTTATGGTACTCCTGAAATATGCGCACCAAGACCTGAATCGCACAACCTGAACAATGACCTGGCCCACTATCTGAGTTCAGGTTGTGCGCCATCTTGGTGCGCATACTTCAGGAGGTCCGAACTTATTTTAATGAAAACAATTGTGTGACATCCAACGAGTTTTTGAACTTTTTGGGGTTCGAAAATGTTTAATTAGGCTGAAATTAATTTAAAAAAAAAAACGAATCATATCGAATCTTTCCGATTTCTGGGAAAACATTTGAATATACCATTGTTTAGTTAGAGAACTGATACAAGAACATATTACAACAAAAAATTTTGATGCTTCCCTGCGATTTTTCAAACTTTTCTGGGTTCGTATATTACAAATTAAAAAAAAAAGAAATTTAAAAATATGAATTTACCAATAAATAGAGAACTGACATGAGAACTCAATGCAACAAAGAAATTTTGGTGCTTTTCCGCGATTTTTCGAACTTTTTTGGGTTCGAATATTGGGAATTGTAAAAAAATTCAAAATTTTGGTAAGATAACCGATTTTTTTGAACTTTTCCGGTCTTGGGGGCAAAAAAATGAATTTACCAATGAACAGAGGACTGACATGAGAACTCAACGCAATAAAGAAATTTTGGTGTTTTCATGCGATTTTTCGAACTTTTTTGGTTTCGAATATTGGAAATTGTAAAAAAATTGAAAATTTTGGTAAGATAACCGATTTTTTTGAACTTTTCCGGTCTCGGGGGCAAAAATAGGAATTTACCAATGAATAGAGGACTAACATGAAAACTCAACGCAACAAAGAAATTTTGGTGTTTTCCTGCGATTTTTTTGCTTTTATTTCGTCAACACAACCTTAGATTGAAATGATCACAAATAAATCAATATTAAAGCAAGGCAATGGATATTTTTTTTTTGATTTACTAGTATACTAATTATTACTTATCGATTTTAATCGGTAAGTATGTTGAGGTATTTGTTTGTCTGTCTGTCCGTTAAATGCACGCGATATCTCACGGAAGCGAGATTGAATCTGCTCCAGATTTTGCATGTGCATTTATTATATGTCGTACCAGAAGCCTATCGATTTTGGATGACTTATGTCGTATAATTAGCGAGTTAATAATTAATTAGTGATGGGATACAAGGTTTCACTATGGGGTAAGAGCGCTGTTTTGGGGGATCCCCTAACTTTCGATCGATAAGTCTTCGGTCTCTGACCGATATTCTCGTTATATTTTTCATAAGTACTAAATCAAGTTGTACAACGGCGATAACAAATTCGCAAGATCGCAAATAATTTATATCAAAACTAATACGAGAATATCGGTCAGAGACCGAACAGACAGACAAACAAACAGACAGACAAATACTTACCGATTGAAATCGATAAGTAATAACCAGGCAATATATTCTCACATTATTATGTTCGCAGATTGCCGTGGCATTTAAAAGAAGTAATGCTTTCATCTTGCCATAAGTCAACGCAACCGCGAGTGACCATGAACACAATTAAATTAAAATAGGAATACATTTTAAATTCTTGTCGTTGTCAAGGATTGGATATTATTACCAAAAAAGGTTGGGAAACGCTGCATTAACTTCGTGTCAACTAATAAACATCAATGTGGACAGGATATTCCCAATATTCGAATCCAAAAACGTTCGAAAAGTCGCCGGTAATCACCAGATTTTTTTGTTGCGTTGAGTTCTCATATTAGTCCCTCTATTCATTGGTAAATTTATATTTTTGCCCCCGAGACCGGAAAAGTTCAAAAAAATCGGTTATCTTACCAAAATTTTGAATTTTTTTACAATTCCCAATATTCGAACCCCAAAAAGTTCGAAAAATCGCGGAGAAGCACCAAAATTTCTTTGTTGCGTTGAGTTCTCATGTTAGTTCTCTATTCATTGGTAAATTCATATTTTTGCCCCCGAGACCGAAAAAGTTCAAAAAAATCGGTTATCTTACCAAAATTTTGAATTTTTTTACAATTCCCAATATTCGAACCCAAAAAAGTTCGAAAAATCGCGGAAAAGCACCAAAATTTCTTTGTTGCATTGAGTTCTCATGTCAGTTCTCTATTTATTGGTAAATTCATATTTTCGCCCCCGAGACCGAAAAAGTTCGAAAAATCGCGGAAAAGCACCAAAATTTCCTTGTTGCATTGAGTTCTCGTGTTAGTCCTCTATTTATTGGTAAATTCATATTTTTACCCCCAAGACCGGAAAAGCTCAAAAAAATCGGTTATCTTACCAAAATTTTGAATTTTTTTACAGTTCCCAATATTCGAACCCAAAAAAGTTTGAAAAATCGTAGAAAAGTACCAAAATTTCTTTGTTGCATTGAGTTTTCATGTTAGTCCTCTATTCATTGGTAAATTCTTTTTTCTGCCCCCGAGACCGGAAAAGTTCGAAAAAATCGGTTATCTTACCAAAATTTTGAATTTTTTTACAATTCCCAATATTCGAACCCAAAAAAGTTTGAAAAATCGCAGGAAAGCACCAAAATTTCTTTGTTGCGTTGAGTTCTCGTGTCAGTCTTCTATTCATTCGTAAATTCATATTTTTGCCCCCGAGTCCGGAAAAGTTCAAAATAATCGGTTATCTTACCAAAATTTTGAATTTTTTTACAATTTCCAATATTCGAACCCAAAAAAGTTCGAAAAATCGCACAAAAGCACCAAAAACTCTTTGTTGCATTGAGTTTTCATGTTAGTCCTCTATTCATTGGGGAATTCTTTTTTTGCCCCCGAGGCCGGAAAAGTTCAAAAAAATCGGTTATCTTACCAAAATTTTCAGTTTTTTTACAATTCCCAATATTCGAACCCAAAAGATTCAAAAAATCGCAGGGAAGCACCAAAATTTTTGTCGCGTTAGGTTCTCATGTTAGTCCTCTATTCAGTGGTAAATTCATATTTACCATGAATCCACGATAAATATTGTAATAATGTAAATATATCTTCTGTTTCTCATTTCATGATTGAAGGCACACCCTGGTATGACACCCGGTACAATGCCTAAAACATTTGGCTGGAATTTTGCTGGCATTGCGGTGGCAGAATCATGGTGCCGTGTTGATACATTGTTACGTCACAATATTCTTTTTAATCGTTCTCTTACAATTTTACTATTCAATTATCCGGTACCACGGGACCTATACCCCTTTGCTTGGAAACAATCCCTTGAATTCCGACAGAATTACCCACTGCTCTTGCTGGCGTACAGAAACGTCAAATTTGAGAAGTCTTATTCGGCCATCGTTTCAATATTAATTTTGCATCAAGCGCGCCGACGCTGTTTCCTAGACTGAGGAATGTCAAAGAAGATAATAAGATATTCTACGCATTTTTCGCTAAATTTAGGAATAAAAATATTATTTTGGTCGGCATTTTGACTCAAAATAGCATTCAGGATTCACGCGATGCCCACTTTGCATATTTTTTATTCGATGCAAAAATAACACAGACAAGATAAAAAAAAGTAAACTATCGTCTTCATGAATATCCGCATTCCTGAGCCAGTGAAGATAATATTGTTAACCTTTTTAAAATTCGGACGGTTAGTTTACAAACGCTGATAAGAAAGATCCAACAAACGCAAAAGATTAAAATCAGAAAAAATAAAAGTAGTTGAGTCCTGAATTGCCTCCTTGATAACTGTCTTCAACATACGTCACCGATGTGGACGCTTATTCTGCCAGGAATATAAAAACCAAACTTTGACATCCGCCTTTGCGTAAGAATTGGTACTTGTGTAAGAAAAAGAAAATGGGCAAAGAGGTAGGTTACAAACAGTAGAATGGCTAACGTTATGGACTCCTGTTATATATTTGAAAAATTCGGTAACCGATAGAAATATTTGAATTATTTGGTTTGATGGAAATATTTCAATTCCCCAGTCTAGCAATCTTTAATCACTCCGGTATTCCGGTGAAATGCATAGCCGTTGTGGCAGTTGATGCAACTTAATAGGACCAATATTAAATTTAGTAAATTGCACTAAACAAAATGCGTGGTGGAGTCGGCGATCATTTTACATCTTGAGCACTAAAACAGTTGTATTTTAGGTCATTTCTGTGATCTGGAAATCTTATTTTAATCAGTGTTTCGATGTCTTTCGCGAAAAATGAATGTTACGATGTAGTAAAGTCGATGATCTTTACCATCAAATAATACTCGGACACTGCAAGGTGTCCGCCCTTCATTGTAAGTAAGCGCGATGGAATAGCAGTTGAAGTGGTGGAACTCAACTGTGTTGCCAACGCAGGTTACACATCTCTAGTTTAAATCCAATTTCTACCATCTCAAACAGGGTGGAAAATGCGCAGACAAAGCCGACTTGGGAAAATCCCGTTTCTTCCTAAAACAGTGAACTCTAAATATCGTTAGATATCAGTGACTGCTTGTAGATGGCTTTGTTTGGAGAGAAAGGTTTGAATAAGTGTCCTATAAAAATCTTCAGTGTGATTTTTACAAAATTTTCGTCACAAGTATCTTAGTTACGGAATAACAATATAAAACCCAA